AATAAAATATTGTATTTTGCTTTTAATTTCTTCTCCACCATTGTAAATTAAAAATTCTAGTCTTAGTTGAAGATTTACGTGTATGTTTTTCACTGTAGTCATTCAAACATAATCCACAGTGTTCACATTACAAAGTGGGGAAATCATTTGCATTTCAAATACAGAAGCCTATACTGTGAGCATAAATATATTTTACAAACATATTAACAGTTTGACAAACTTAATTCATTGCCTTATGATAGTCCACTGTGAGAAAAAATACTATAGTTTTCTTCTTAATTATTTTCTTTTACTCAAACTATTTTTATAAAATAATTCGTTCACAAAAAGTTCAAGTTCACTTATCAAGCAGAAGTGCTTTTCTCCTGGTTATCATTATGTTGTTAGGTGTAGTTGAGTCATTGAGGCAATGTCTGTGACTCATTACAGGCCTATATACAATAGGATACCCTTCTTATCCTGTGTCATCTTCACAATCTCTGCTGTGCTTAAGCACACCATTGCACTACTGTGTCACTCCATCTCATTAAGAGTCTTCTTTTTTTTTTTTTTTTTGCTTCTACTTTATCAGCATGATGCCTTTCTACAAGAACAAGCCACTCTTGGTAACAAGTCTAACAAATATCAAATTCTTTGTTTCTATTTTTACTTATAAGAAATTTCAAAGGTCTTACCTTCGTTCTCTCTAGTCTCATATATTTGTCTTTGCCATTTACTGTGTGAAAGTCACTCTGGTTCCTGTTTGTTTATCTAAATTTCATTGAGCATAATTCATGTTTTCTTTTAGTCTAACATTTTGCACAAGTTGTTTTCTTCTACTGGAAGAAAATTTCTTTACCATAGACTTTTGAAGACTGGCTGTGTTGTTCGCTTTGTCTCATTTTAAAGTGCTAATAACCTTCTGAATGTGTCCCATCTAACATTAGTTTCCCATATCTGCTCATTTTAAGTCTCCATAACCCTCTGTGCCCATCAGCGTTCTTTTTCCCACTCCAGCTCCTTCTTTACTGCTTTCACAATATTGCACAAATTCATAGTTAATTTTATTTGCTAGCTTTTACCTATAAATTTTAATAATGAAAATGAGACCAGGGTTTGCATGAAATAATTTGTACAATCAATAATGTAGTCATTACAAGTACTTTTAAACAATAAAAGAAAAGCCTTGCCTGAGGGAATACACAGGGATCAGACTGACTACATCTATGTTAAGAGAATGAAGACGCTCAATATCAATGTTAAAACAAGGCCATTGGCTAACTGAAACATACTATCAGTTGCTTAAATGCAAGTTCCAAATATTAAAAAGAAGAGAGTTAAAATATGATCTCTAGTTTATCCCACTTGAATTTTGACAAACAAAATAAAACCCTAAGAATATACCACCTGCATTTGAAAACCACTTCTAAAATACATTTGGCACGTTAAACAATAATAACTGAAGACAAGACAAGTTTTGAGATGACATCAAGTAGCTCAATAATAAGAAAGAAAAAGATCATTAAAAGATAGGGGGGAATAAAAAAATACATGTCAGAGAAGACTCTGAAATTTCCTCCTTGACATTGTTGTTATTTTCCATCAAAATGGAAATCATTCATTGCTGACTCTTAGTGGGTTTTCAGAAGGTGTTTATCACACATGAGGAAATTGCTCATCTTTCTACTGAGTGAATTGCTCATCTTTCTAACTGGTAAGTTAAAATACGTACCTTCAGT